TCAAATGTCCAAATGAACTAATATCAATGATGAAACAGCTAGCCAAAAGAAAAGGTTTTTTCCTTAGTAGAATTACACGCTTATGTAATATACTAAACACAGAAATATAAAAGACAAGCAGTCGTCTGAAAAGTATGAGATTAAAAAATACGAACATGGTAGGTCATTCAGAAATTCAATTATTTGAAAAAATTCAATCTGCTTAATCATTGCGTTTATTCATTTATGAATATGTTGGAAACATGAAATAGTCACCCACTGAAACACATACATACCATCACAAGATAAACAACACATTTTACTAACAATTAAACGAAATCTTATTGAATGAAGTGAACACTTAACAACTGTTTTGATTTCTAGACTGAAATAAGTCCGACTGATAATTTCTAGCAATACTGATAGTTATTCACTGTCGACGACAATCCAGCTTTTTGAATGAGTATGAAAGTTTTCTCTTTCCATATTCTAATACATGCCACTAATTTTAGTGGTTCAGTCAATGATTAATTGGCACATATTTATTGGACATTGGTACTTCAATTGGCATAACAATGAGAAGACGCACAGATTATTTACGATAGACAGAATATCGGTAAAGTGATAGAAAATTTCATTGACTTGACATTTCGAAAGGCTTTTTTCAGTGACCAAATCAAAATAAAAGGACAATAAAGATCAACAATAATGTTAATTTAGCTATGAGCAACGAAAGACTTGGCACAAACATACATCATTCCAAGTTATCACATTACATCAGTATACCATGAGATGATACTGACAGAAGAATAGAGAATAAGTCGGAATTAAAGTAATATGAAAGATATTAAGGAAGATTAAAAACAGAGAATATGGTTTACCAAAACAAAATGAATTTAAAAATTAAAAGTATATAATATTATTGGAAATTAAAACCTTGTGGAAAACAAATTCATGTCACTCAACATCTACAAGTGGTTATGATAATCACACGGACTCCAACAAAGAATTTTACACTTATCAACATGCTCTTCATGAGCCCTGATCAAACGCTGGATGATCGGAGGAACTGGTATTTCAGAAATTATATTGGTTAAGCTGATTCTTCTGTGGTTGCTACAAAAAGATTTTTGCACTTTCTAATAAACTGGGACGATTAGCGATCGACCCCAATCAAATGGAATTACGTTCAGTTCCCAAATTCTAAACAACATCTAATAGCTAAAACCGGACCATTATCGTTAAAGACCTCCTACGATAAACCGTCTTGAATTGATGCTCTACAGATTTAAATTAGCTACTGTCTTTGCAATCTCACTAAGAGTTGGCAAAACTGTATCAATTCGCCACTTAGTTTAGAGATAATAACTGAAAAGTAGCTAGAGGTCAGTTAAACTTTTGCTTAGAATGTGACTTTGAATGCTGATAGAAGTATGCGAGTAGTTGTCGCTTCCCGGTTGCTCACATCATGAAGAGATACCTCTTGAGCAACCTGGATATTTAGTGCTATCGCTTGTCAGGAATCATAACCTCAAAGCCAACAGGACAACCTCTTGAGCTCTGCCATATGCGGCCTTTTTGCATGGATTTTTTTGATGTACTAGCTCCTTTCCTTCAGGGTTTTACAGGCATTTACAGAAATGCGTGATGGTGTAATGCGTTATTTTTGGAATAAACCTAACCTAACTTTCTCTTTCCATTGTGGTGGTGTCTCTGCAGAAACTGCTTGCCCGAGGGAATACATTTTTACCCTCATACACCACTACAGTCAGTAGTATGACTTCACCCTCGAGCATTAAGTTGCTTTTTCTAATCTTACCGTCTTACAGATGTTAGGATCTACAGAAATAAGCATTTCAGCTAACATAGGTCGATTGGTTCATCACGATAGGAAAGCCCGACCACCACATCGGGGTGACAGCTACGGTCGGGAGTACTGCTACCACTACTAGTAGTAATAATAATAGGAAGAACGAGAATAAACGACGAAAGGTAATAAAACTAGAGAAAACCATGCATGGAATAAGATTTTTAGCTATCATGACAAGTTATGGAATATATCTACTGGGCATTTCTAACTACCGATTTCTCTCATTTTGTGGGTTTTAAATTACTTTTCTACTCCAGCCAGATCAAGTTAGTTTCATTTTGGTTGAACCAGTCAGTGGTTTTCGCACATCACTTAGTTTTATTGGTGTTGTATTCTTGTCAACTAGATGAACTTACCTGAAACCCTAGGTTGGATTTCAATAATGCACACTTAAAATTTTAACCCCACATGACTGGATCCTCAAATCCATCGCTCCTTAAAGAAATATAGCCTTTTATTTCACTTGCATTTAGCAAACAAACTTAGTATTTGTATGTTGGAACAGCTCCAACAGAGTATTCCTTTATAAGACAAACTACAAGTGAAATAAGTTAGTAGATGGTTATCAAAACTATATTACTCGTGACAAGATTTTTACTAATACTAAATTGTCGAGGGCAATGCAAATATATATCTCACTTAATCAGTGCAGCCAACCTAGGTGTAAATGAGGACCATTTCTGAAAAACAATCTTATATTTAAATGAAGACGTATTCAGAATACTAACAGGTATGGCTCACATTGTTTGGTATATTAAGTTTTGCTAACATCTCAATAGGATAGTGTTGTCTACGTAACTGAATTCAATCGAGATTTTCCATGGAAATCAACCACTGAGTAGTCTATAACAGTCATCACCAAGACATCGTTAATGATGAGGACGACTATAAAAATTGTAAGAATAAACACCACTGACTAACTAAATTATTGTGACAGATATTGAACATGAAGCTTTAGGGTAAGTGGGTTAAGCTGAACCAGTAAGAAGAATTGATTGAAACCACTTTTAATGAAATCACTATATACATAATTTTTCTCAATTAAACCGGACTACACTTAGCAAAGGTCAATATTAATATATAACTATCTAAACTGAAGGCACCTAAAGAAAAATGAAATTTGCAATTAAACAAACTCGAACAGTGTTTACAACACTGAACTATAACTCCCCAAACGTAATTACTAAGAACATCAGCTAATAGTCTGTAATAATCCCTTCAATCATTAATCTTATATCTACTATCAGACAGCTAAGAAGTGTAAACGACACCAAAAGACGACTGCCAAAATATATGTAATAGGAATCTACAACATTCTGTAGCTCGCCCTTTTAAAGAAATCTAACATCAAGAACATCAAAAAGTTATAACTCTTTGTCTGACTAATCACAGACGAAAAAGTAGCATATATATATATATATTCAAAGTTTATTGTGCAAACCAGCATCCTGTTCTTTAGTCATTTACTTTTTCCTATTTATTAGCCTTTAATAAGTTCGGTAGATGATTTAAATTTTAGCTACTGTTAGTACATTAGTAATTATGTCGTTTGGATAGAGCATAAGTGACACAGTAAGTGTATTTAGGTGAACGTACTTGTGAGTAACGGTGATTATAATCATCATTTATATACGATATCATATCGATATGTAAAAAACATGATCTCAAATTGTGCATGCCAAGTTGCTTAGATAATTTGAAGCGAGACAACAAACACAATATCTGTGGAATAAAGCAAATTTGTCTTATTTCAATCACAATTAATATTAAGATCAACCAACATAAAATGGAATGTAGTAACAGTTAAAAATAAAAAACAAAAAAAATAACACGTTATGAATGATGAAATCATAAGGTAAGAAGAAATAAGTATCCTCATAGAAGTTTGAAAAAACATGAATCTTTTTTGGGGGGATTGAGTTTCATCTGTTCTTAATATCAAGTTAAAAATACGTTCCTTCTTGCAAGAATCCCACACGGATTTCGATATTTACCCAAATGTTAAGGAATCACATTTATAGCATGTTATGGCACTTCATGGTGTTGCTAATCTATGCCATTTTAGATGTAATTCATATTCTCTGTTAAAAAAATTGAAGAACTAGCGATTTTTAAGAGCAACATCCAAAATAGCTTGATTATTCCAGGGATAGAATCGCACTGACTAAACAAACCATTCAATCTAGAACGGTGGTTCAATGGCTAATACATTTGGTATTTCGCCCCCATATTGCGGGCTCGAATCCACCTCGACCTACTTCTGTTTGGGCAACCTGACGGCATCACTAACCCCCACACTTATAGTGCACCTAGTAGCAAAATAAACTGCTCTTTATATAGCGAATGATATAAACAGAAAATCTGTGTAGATCTTTATGTCTAACATTAGAATTTCATATTGACTGGCCCTCCCAATTTACAGCCTTGGAAATTTTAGCAGTAAAAGTCTGCAGACGAGTTGAGAGATCCTGCTCTACTTATCGAAATGCTCTTACATGACCAGGCAATTACAGCCACTGCCAGGTGAAGTTCTAACCATTGAAAGTTTACAGACTTTAGTCACTAAATATCTTGCCAAAGAGAAACACGAACATATATGGTTTTATTACGACTCATAGTGAAAAGAAAAATCTCAGAGATCATATTGTGATAGTTTAGACACTATGAGTAGTACGCTATACATGTTGGACCAAAATCGTTTAGGTGGGGTCAGACTATCTGAGATAAAATCACAGGAAACACTAAACTATGATAACCATTTCTTTAGAAATAATGAAGTTAGATATTTGGCAGATAACAGGATGTTATCAAATGACAACAATATAATCAAAAACTACAGGTTTACATGCTAGATTGAGTTGCACATTTACAAATATATTTTCTGTACAATTGTCATATAGAAGCACGATAAGTGGGTTTGAATCAGAAATCCATAAGCAAAATTTAAATCACTAAGTTAGTGGTCGAAATGTACTCCAGTTCAGATACCTGAACAGTAATCAAAGCACGAGTGTAGCTAATAGAAACACACATTTCATTAAAAAGAACTCCATTTTAACTTAGCAAATCGAAGAGAGAAATAACCAAATATTTGGTGTTTAGTATGGAGAATAGCAAAATAAAACGCGTATAAAAGATCTAGAAAACATACCTAATTAGGATTAGGCCCTTAGCTTATTATATGCACTGGATAACCCCGTCCTTCACATCTAAAAAATTGTAGCGAAATTTTCCCAATAAGTTATGCATTTTCGAAACACAAAGTATGATAATAGTATATAAAATCATGTTAATTTGACAGAATCGCCTACGTGTGACCCAAAGCTTAAAAGGCCTGTATTTCATTATTGAACTGCACCAAATTAAACCGATCCCAGTGAAAAATTACACCATCTAAACTTATGGCAAAACTGATTTCACCAATAATAAGATTCGTTTAGAAAATAATTAATAGGACTAATATTGTTATATACATTTCTACTTATTTCCCGTAAGATTCGAAAACTCTCAGAAGTGAGAAAGGCACATGTATTACTCCGCAGTTGGTAGAGACCTGAACGCTCTTACATCAATTACATCTGACTAATAAATGCTGCTCAAACCACGATGCTACATCCACGTTCGTTTCAACCCTAATATGAAAAAAGTAGAATGGGTCGTCTACAATTAAGTTTTATTAACATAAAGATGGTGTGCAATAGGGCGAATCTTAAGAAAAGAAGTACAAATCCATAGGCAACTACACACATGAAAAGATCGCAAACTGCCAAAAAATATGACGGATGTATTTTACTATAAGTCATAGACCACCATGTCAAACTACTTATATTTTCATACATTTATCTCTAAAATATCAAAGAACTTACCGTGAAAACATAACAATTCCAGTGATACTTAGGGAGGATAGGAATTACGTAGAACTTTTAGAATGTTCAGTTTAAGTGAAAATCTTTATGCGCATTAAAAACAAGCATATCTACTCCACTTGACTGTCTTATTTCTACAACCTCGTGAATCCAAAACAAGTTTATTGAGCGACTCAAGCCAACAGAAGCTTTTAGTTGGTAATAAACGTTTCTTGTTTAATCTAAGGCTTTTGTCATCCTATCTCTATGTTGTCTAGGGCCAAATATCATACTTAGCAGCTAGTCCAAATTGTACGGAACCACAGTATTAACTTAATTTTATAGACTTTCTGATTGGTCTATTCAATAATAGTGATTTGTGGGTAGAAAAACCACTCAAATTTGGTTGGGATATGGGAGTTCACACACTTGTTGTATTCCTGTTGATCACTGAGCTTATGCCTCTCGAAATTACCCTCACAGTCTTTCTACTGCAACTGATGTTACCGTTATATTTACCCATCGGCTTCTCATCATATAAACTTCTCTCATTGATTTGATCAGATTAGATGAACAACACATGGAATTCTAGTAAAATGGATTGACACGTATTTCTTTACAAGTTGCATACTGTATGATTGATTATATCAACAACAAATCCTGGACACCAGTTGTATCAAGAAAATCAAGAAGAGTAACACTAAGTGACTACTTAGTAACTGGATCGATATTGATTAATACAGATCAACTTGAGATGAGTAAAGCTGACAGCTTCATCATTAACCATACATGCAACAAACCAAGTTTGAACCAATCCGACTAATAAATAACACTGAAATTAACAATTACACGACACTCTTCAAACTTACCGTGATTCGAAACTAGAGAACTGAGTTCAGGCTGCAAGCCCTTGTTTAAAAAGTGACTCGGACATACTAGAAAAAGTACAGAGGGTAGATACCCGTGCAATTCCGGAACTCCGGAGTTTATCATACAAAGAGAGGCTTGAAAAACTGGACCTCTTCACTCTGTCCTATCGCAGACTAAGGGGAGATCCAATTTTGATGTACAGAATACTGAAAAATGATTTCGGACCTAACATGTTCTCTCTCTCTTTCTTCCCACTAGATCGGGAAACCTCAGAGGACATAGCAGGCGAGTAGAAAAGCCAAGAATGAACAAAATACCCGTGGCATACAGGTTATCACACCGAGTCATCAATACTTGGAACCTGCTGCCTGAAGCAGTGCTGTCCGCACCTTCAATTGACTCTTTCAAGAGAAGACTGGAGATTCACAGAAGCATACTAGAAAAGGAATAACATACGCCGTAGGCCTTCTATCCTTACTACACAAATCTGAATCAGAGATTAAACGACAGTATCTTAATTGTGATTGAATATTGCCATAAACTCATTTCTAAATTAAACATTTTTAAAATGACTGTAGAGCCCACTACGGACAGTGCCACCGGGTGACTAAACTATCCAAACTGGAGGGTAACAGTGTTTGATAACACCAAAGAGCAAGTTCAGAGAGGTCAACTAGTTTTTACTCCATCAATATAAAAATATAATTTAAAATTGGAAACAGTATGATCACCCGATTTTCGGGTTTTCCCTAAAGTCACATGAAAATCCTATGATTACTCACGTTTGATGAAGAACATAAGATATAAATGCTGAGCACTTCCTAACATCCCTTACCTAGTTCTCTTTAGTTTACACGACGGTCAGTACTTGTGAGACCACAATTTTCCGTCAAAAACAGTAGAAATATGTAGCAGAATATCAATTGACCTTCAGGATATGTACTTAGAAATCCCGAATCCTATTGGTCAGGCTAAATAACCCGCCTTTAACCGTTTGACAAAAAAAAATATAAACCAACTTTTAGGAAATGCTTCAACCTTAAAGCTCCAAACAAAAGTATATATATCCTCTGTGCATCTAACAAATAGAATTCACATTTTCGTGTTTGATGCTCAGTGTCAAATAAAGTCTTATTTACATATAGTTATTCGAGTGTGTAACAGTAGCTGATAAATTTGACAACTGCATTTGCCGACCGCATCTTAGAAATCACGAAATCTTCTAGTGTCGAGGTTTTCTCAGGCAAAGAAAAGCGTCAAATGACCCAGAATGACATGACAGAGTTATGTTATACACTTACACCTTATCTTAAATTTCGTAGCGACCGCAAACGGGCACACGCTTCGCGAAGAAGCACTTCATATAAGCGATCTGTCTTTAGATCACGAGAGACGGATAACCTCGACTGGTGCTGGTATCATAATCAGTATGGAGAGTCTTCCAAAATTTACAAGAAACCCTGCAATTTTCCCAACTCAAAATCGGGCGACACGATAAACAATTGATGAGAATTTCTAGCCGGCACGCGAAAGGTAGCTGGCTAGCATGGTCATCTGTTATACGCCACAGAGATTATAACGAAAGTTCACTACCACGTTGACACTGGCACAGAAGTTAGCGTTCTTCCAGAGAAATCTGACGACCGGCTTCACGAATAAATTTTAAACATACAGGCGGCAAACGGAAAGCCTGTCAACACATACGGTAAAAGGTACTTGATCACCTGTATTCTCTAGAGCACGCCGACTAGCCCCAGAAAAGCTAAGGTTAACAAAAAACGAGTTCGATCACATGATAGACTTAGGGATCATACGGCCGTCAATTAGCTCATATGCATCTCCGTTGCACATGGTCCCTAAAAAGGACAGCAACGATTGGCGACCAACCGGCGACTACCGGCGATTGAATGCAAAAGCCATTCCCGATCGTTACCCATTGCTCACATTTACGATTTGACAGCTACATTGAAAGGTACAACTGTCTTTTCGAAAATCGACTTGGTTAAAGCGTATAACCAAATTCCCATGGCTACTGACGACATACCGAAAACAGCTATCATAACTCCCTTCGGACTTTATGAATTTTTGCGAATGCCTTTCGGTCTAAGGAATGCTGCTCAAACATTCCAAAGATTCATAGACGACGTTTTTCAAGGTCTCAACTTCGTACATGCGTATGTTGATGACTGCCTAATCGCAAGTCCGGACAGAGAATCACATCTCAAGCATCTGGATCTGGTTTTCGAACGATTACAAAAACATGGCATTACTGTAAACGTTCGAAAATGCCAATTCGAAACCGACTCATTAGACTTCCTGGGACACATTATCGATGCTCAAGGCATTCGACCCCTTAGGACCAAAGTGGCGGCCACTCCGGATTTCTCGGAAACGATTACCATCATGCAACTACGCATGTGTAACGGCCTTGTAATTTTTTATAGACGATTCATACCTAAGTGCACTTTACTCATGAAACCTCTAACCGACCAATTTCGTGGAAATGCGAAATCCATTAATTTGGACGACACCGCACGAAAAGCATTCTCCACAATTAAGGAACTCATCGCTAAAGCAACAGTGCTTGCACATCAGGACACCCGAGCACTCATTAGTATCGCAGTAGACGCATCCGATTCAGCAATCGGAGGAGTCTTGCGACAATGGGTTAACAACTCCTGGCAACCTTTGGCATTTTTCCCTAGGCGGCTGCTAGACACTGAATCGACGTACAGCACATTCGGGAGGGAACTCCTAGTTATGTATTGTGCTGTACGGCATTTTCAACACTATATCGTAGGCCGGGATTCCACCCTTTTTACTGATCATAACCCTTTGAAATTCTAGTTATGCTCTCCTTCTGACAAGTACTCTCACCAAGAGTCTCGACAACTGGACTACATTTCGCAGTTTACTTCGGATATTCAACACATTTCTGGAGCAAACAATGTAGTTGCAGACACCCTATCTCGCATAACTTCTTTGAACAGTTTCTAAGGAATTAACCTTCTAGAACTCGCACAGCTTCAAAAAGAACACACTGATTTTCAGCACGAGTTATCGTCTACAACCCTTAAACTACGCATCAAACAGATGAGAACAGGTAAGGAAACCTTATCTTGTGACACATCTACAGATAGGGATCGCCCAATCGTGCCGAAACATTATCGACGCAATGTCTTCAACTCATTGCACAAACTTTCCCATTTAGGTGTTCGTGCAACCATCAAGCTTATAGCAGAACGGTTTTGCTGGCCTTTCATAAATAAAAACGTGAGGGAGTGGGCACGCTCCTGTGTAAGCTGTCAAAAATCTTAAGTCACCAGACACAATAATTGTCCCTTAGGTTCATGTAGAACTCCCGATGCCCGTTTCGACCATTTTCATTTGGATTTGTTAGGACCCTCATCAGATTCAAATGAATACTCTCATCTCTCAACCTGCGTTGACCGTTTCACTCGATGACCAGAAGCAGTAACTATCAAGGACATCACTGCTGAAACAGTGGCCCGCGCCTTCGTCGAACGATGGGTAGCAAACTTCGGTTACCCTTCAACCATCACTACAGATCGCGGGCGTCTGTTTGAATTTGAACTTTTCCGTCGTCTGACCACACTTTTAGGAATCACTCGCTTCCGATCGACCGCCTACCATCCACAAGCAAACGGGTTGGTAGAACAATTTCACCGACAACTAAAAGCTTCACTGTCAGCTGTAAAAGTTTCACAGTGGACCGACGCTCTTCCACTCGTCTTACCAGGTATTCACAATTCAGTGAAAGCTGACATTGGATACACTGCAGCTCAACTCGTTTATGGAACGACACTTCAACTTCCAGGAGAATTCGTGGATCCTTCACCCTCTTCAATGAGCATGGATCTAACCTCCTACACAAACAGGCTTACAAACGCAATGCGTTCAGTTAAATCTGTTACCACTCGACCTCAATCAACTGATGTTTTTGTTCCACCTGACATAATGTATAGCACACACGTCTTCGTACGTCGAAACTAACATCGACGACCTCTCGAATCAGCATACGAAGGACCCTTCAAAGTTCTTCAGCGCAAACCTAAGTACTATATAGTCGATAAGAACAAAACTAACGATAGCATCACGATCGATCGCCTCAAAGCAGCGTATTTAGAAGGAAATCCTATCTACGCCGATTTTCCTCCAGTACAATTGATCGACACGACTCCGACACTTATAATATCTTACCCGACAACCAACACACACGATGATACTTCTACAGTATCTGAAAATAAACTTAAAACGACACGTTCTGGAAGAAGATTAAGGTTTCCAGTACATTTAAACTACTACTGCACGTAAGGCACTACTCGGAATTTTATATTACCTCGACCTTTCTTTTTACAATATATAATATTTTTAAAGAAACAATTTTAATGTGCTTATATATTTATCTTTTCATTTTTAAAAAAACGAACAAAAAAACAAAAAACTTTTAATGCTATTACGTGTGCTTGAGTTTATTTTTCTTTTTCTTTCGCCGACATTGTGTTTTTACGCACATACGAGTGTATTTCGACATGCACTTACATTTTCTTTTTTCTTTTCAATGACGGCTGGAAAAGAATGATGCAGTTTACGAGGAGCCGAAATTTTCATTGCACCTTTTCTTTTTTCACTATGTTGTACCTCGATCCCATATAGTAAGGAAAGACGACCAGACGCTGCTAATCTTAGTAAGCTATCAAAAGAGTGTTTACAAACGACAGACTCGTTGGGTTTAAACTTCTGGCTGGCCACATCTTAGGGTCATCACTGCCCCACTAAGGAGGGATTGATCTGTAGCTGTAAATAATTAGCTCTGTAAGTTTTCGACATTGGATGCTGACCATATGTTTTAGTGTACTCTCCTAGCTGAAGGCGCTCGGTCATGCATCCGCACCAGATCACGTGTGTTACCGCTAGCCAGATTAGATCAGAGAATTCCGATATATTGGTAATCGCCTAATACACTCTTCCGATCTCCTCGACTCTGTCTTTTGATTTCTCTCGGTGGGTACAAATTATATTAGGTGTTGCTGGTAAAAGCGTCGTCAAACACTGAATACCTGTGCCATCTTCAAGCCACAATAATCATTGATTGCTCCGGCCCTAGACAAGCATAACTAAGTGCCAAAGTGCCTCTGCATTAAATAAATTCGTAAAATGAAGGCATTACTGTCTCAGTACAAGCTCAAATCATAGGTTATCAACACTCCCAGGTCTTTTTCAACTTCAGATAATCCTAGAAAGCAATAACTAAAGCTATATGCATAGTCTATGACATGTCCCAGGTAGACTACTTTACACATTGAAGTGTCAAAGATAAGTCCATTGTCATCCGCCTGACCTGACTTCGAAGTCAAGCCGGATTCTCCTGAAGTGCGAGCTTATCATCTCGGTCTCAAAATTCTCTCCAAAGTTTCACATTGTCAGCGAAAAGTGGTGAATCAGATGACACTTGCTGGTGAAGGTCATATATAAACTAAGAAAGGAAAAGGTTCTAGTATCGAAACCTGATTGATCTCACCAGGAGAAAAAGTGAAGTTAACCCTATCCCCAAAAAGTTGATTACTTGGTTGTGAAATAAACAAACCAACTAACGGTGGCTGGATACCTTACCTTTTGAGCTTATAGGTGTGACATATATGGTTGAAGTGACAGAACGCTTCTGAAACGTCAATGTATATGGCACCAGCCTCCTCCTTGCGATCAAAGATAATTAATTTCTGAGTCTTGTTGGGTTAGTGGTGAAGTTCTTGTCGCTGTAGTTTGCATGGACTGGTTAAAATGTCTGAAAGTAATTTTCCCTCACGAGATCGGTGGAATCACCGTTTTTGTTGGTTGAGCAATTAGTAAAATATCTCGATGTACGTCCATCTCAAGTTGAGGTCGGAATTCCCAGTCTACCTAATGTCGATTGCCCTGCAAAGCTGACAGATCAAACCGTTTGAAATTCCAACGTCTGTCGCTAGTAGGA